TCGCCAGCAAACATTGAGAGAAATGAATCTATACCCTCCGGGAGATCATTTACATATATCAGAAACAAGATAGGACCGAGTACAGAGCCCTGCGGGACTCCACTGTCCTGTCCCACTGTATACCTGTCCTCGCCTGTTCTAAGTTTCGTTACCTGTTCTTTCATTGTTGTTTTCCTCCTGATGTGGCTGTGGAGTAGCTTTGGTTCGGTCTTGGCTTTGTTTGCTATATCATTTTCATAACTTTTCTCTGCTTCTCTTCCCACCCTGACATACTCATTCCTAGTTCTCTGGTATCTCTCTCTGCTTTCTGGTGTTCTGGAAGTTCCTCCACGCCCTTTTGTTCAGTTCTTTTGCTGCCATACATGCCCTATTATACCATGGATTCTTCTTTTGCTTCTCGGATTTTTCCCTTTGGGCTGGGATGAACCTGTGTGTGTGTGTTTGTGTGTGTGTGTATTCACCTAGTTGTATTCACCTAGTTGTGCTTGCGGGGATTGAGCTCTGCTCTTTCGGCCTACCTCTCAACTGTCAACCAACTGTTACTAACTACTTTTTTTCCCACACCACACACAAACACACCCCAGGAAGCAGCCCGTGACAGCTGACTAACTCCCAGGTACCTATTTACTGCTAGGTAACAGGGGGGCATTAGGGTGAAAGAAACTCTGCCCATTGTTTCTCGCCGGCTCTGGGAATCGAACCCGCGACCACTGGATCACGCGTCCAGCGTGCTGTCCAGTCAGCCACCGGCGCCCTTGTGTGTATATGTGTGTGTATATCAGAGTTCCCAACCTATAAGGTGACTAGTAGCTTCTAGTTACTGTTGTACACGTATATTTAGTATACTTATTCTGTGTAGTATAACTTCTACGTATGTCCCAGAGGTGTATAAATTACTCAAGAGATTTTTTTGTTTGCTTTTTGTTACTCCGAGAATGGTTTATATGAATGTACAATGTTGGCATTGTTGAGTTGACCTTTGGAGACGGCCAGGTCAAGCTGCAGCTTCACTGGTCTCTGGGTTCTGAAGCCGGTCATACGTAAGGTGTGTGCGCTTTCTCTATATTTGTGTATATATATCTATCTATTGTTTTCTTACTAGTAGGTAAGCAGAGGATCATTGTGTGGATCAGAGATAAAATAAGTATTTTTACGTTAAAATAAGTGTTTTTAAGTTAAATAAGTGTTTTTATGTTAAAACAAGTTTTTTTTACGTTAAAATAAGTGTTTTTACGTTAAAATAGGTGTTTTTACGTTAAAATAAATGTTTTTTAAATTAAAATAAGTGTTTTTACATTAAAATAAGAGTTTTTACATTAAGTGTTTTTACATAAAAATAATTGTTTTTACGTTAAAATAAGTGTTTTTACGTTAAAATAAGTGTTTTTAACGTTAAAATAAGTGTTTTTACATTAAAATAAGTGTTTTTAAGTTAAAGTAAGTGTTTTTTTTTACCAGCCTACCAACCTTAAAATAAGGATTTTTACGTTAAAATAAATGTTTTTACGTTAAAATAAATGTTTTTACGTAAATTCGCAAATTGTAACTCTTGTGGTGATGTTACTTATGCTTTAATTGCTGTTTTGAGGACTCTTTGTCATATTTTGGGGCCTGTGTGGGCTTAAACTCTGGAGAGGAGAGTCCTGACTCTGCCAGGGTTTTCAGTCATGGTGACTCTCGGTTGAAGACCAGAAAGTGACTTTCCCAAAGTCTTGGTCAGTCATGGTGGACGCTAGTTTCAGTAGCGAGTTTCGTGACTCATTTCATATTTTGGGTCATTATGGACTTTGACTTTTGAGAAGAGTTTTTCGACTTTTGGCAGTCCAGTTGGGACTTAGTTTTTCTGAAGGCACAGTGATAGTTCACTGACTTGTGTGTGTTGATGTTCATGCTTAGTAAGAGGTTACGCCTCCCCCCCCATTCCTCTGGTTATGTAACGTCACTACTGACCATGTTCACAACCTGCCAGCCAGTTACAACCTACCAGGCCAACCTACCAGCCAGTCACAACCTACCACTCAACCACAACCTACCAGCCAGTTACAACCTACCCGGCCAACCTACCAGCCAGTCACAACCTACCACTCAACCACAACCTACCAGCCAGTTACAACCTACCAGCCAACCTACCAGCCAGTCACAACCAACCAGCCAGTCTAGAGTGGTCCAATGTAACAATATTACTAGGTGATATTTGCTTAGTGACATCTGGCTGCGATGACTTGAGCCTTGTGTTAATTTGTTTCATTGTTATGTGGTTGTGAGTATGTATGCACATGTACATATGCACATGTTTGTTACATATAAGCTGCGTCGTGTAGATAAGTTCCCCCACCAGTAAACTGGAGGATCTTACTTAAACATTCACTCACCTCTAGACATTTTGAACTTATAAGTTTTGGCTTATCATCTCTCTATTAGAGAACTTATAGACTTCTCTTATAGAGAACTTATATAGAGAACTTATAGAGAACTCTATAAGAGAACTTATAGAGAACTCTATAAGAGAACTTATAGAGATCACTGACTTATGAGGGGAAAGGTTCTACTCCACCTGCCTTGCAGGGGACCATGTCATGACAGACAGGCAGACAGACAGAAAGACAGTGAGCGACAGTCATACAGATTAACAGTCCGAGTTTTTGAGATACTAGTTTACATATATACGTAGAGAAAAACAAATAGGAGAGATTGACGGGAGAGAGTGATGCGATACGACTGACACTGAGGACGGAGAGAGAGAGAGAGAGAGAGAGAGAGAGAGAGAGAGAGAGAGAGAGAGAGAGAGAGAGAGAGAGAGAGCGAGAGAGAGAGTAAGAGATGGGGTAGCCAGCCACCCACACTGTGTCACTATGGCGACCACAGCTGTGTGAGGGAGGGGTGAGGGAGAAGAGAGAGGGAGGGAGGGAGGTATAGAGAAGGGGAGAGGGAGAGTGTGAATAAAAGAGGCGAGAGAAACAGAGGGAGGAACATGTTTTTTTGGTGTGTTACTGATGGTGGTTGTATGGTAGAGGTATGATGGTTGTATGGTAGAGGTATGATGGTTGTATGGTAGATGTATGATGGTTGTATGGTAGAGGTATGATGGTTGTTTGGTAGTGGTACCAGCCTTGCTGTACCTGTTGCGTCTTAACTATTCTGACGTTCGAGTTCTCTGTCGAATTTGACATTAAAGTTGTGGAAGGAGGTGGCTTCTACAACTTAGTCTTTCAGTACATTCTCCTTGTTGAACCCCCGTGCTGTGTAGGAGAGTTTCCTAACAGTTCTTCGACATATTTGCCTCTCTAAACTCCCGGTAACACTTGTCCTTCCTCTCAGTATAAAATGGTAGCTCTTGCCTACCTTGTCCATTTAGTATCCTGAATGTTGGGAGCATATCTCCTCCGTATAATCATCTTAGTTGTGGCACTAATCTTGCTGCACTAACCTTTTGTATTCTTTCAGTAACTGGGTTATTATCGATGATGTTTGACTTGATGGACGACATCTTGACAAGCTGGGTGGTAGGATGATGATGATGGTGGTGGAGATGGTGACGTCTGGGAAGATGGTGAGATATGGTGTGTTCATAGTGTTGTTGCTGCTGGTTGGTACCTGGTACTCGCCTAGTTGTGCTTGCGGGGGTTGAGCTCTGGCTCTTTGGTCCCGCCTCTCAACTGTCTATCAACTGGTGTACAGGTTCCTGAGCCTACTGGGCTCTACATATCTACATTTGTAACTGTGTATGGAGTCAGCCTCCACCACATCACTGCCTAATGCATTCCATCCGTTAACTACTCTGACACTGAAAAATTTCTTTCTAGCGTCCCTGTGGCTCATTTGGGTACTCAGTTTTCACCTGTGTCCCCTTGTTCGTTTTTGTTCACTCTGTCAATTTTCCCTGAGAATTTTGTAGGTGGTTATCATGTCTCCCCTTACTCTTCTGTCTTCCAGGGACGTGAGGTTTAGCTCCCTTAGCCTTTTCTCGTAACTCATACCTCTCAGTTCCGGGACCAGTCTAGTGGCATCTTGTGAATCTTCTCACCAATCTGGTGTGTGTGTGTGTACCAGTGTTGCTACTACTTGCTGGTACCTGGAGCCAGATTCACGAAGCAGTTACGCAAGTACTTACGAACGTGTACATCTTTTTTCAATCTTTGACGGCTTTGGTTACATATATTAAACAGTTTACAAGCATGAAAACTTCCCATTCAACTGTTGTTATTGTTATAAACAGCCTCCTGGTGCTTCGGAGCTCATTAACTATTTAATAATTGTAAACAAAGCCGCCAAAGATTGAGTAAAGATGTACAGGTTCGTAAGTGTTTGCGTAACTGCTTCGTGAATCTGGCCCCCCTGGTCTTTAAGTGCCAATGCTGTGCTTTTGGTGGCCTTGTACCCCGTCCTGGTTGATGGGAAACTTGTCTGGTGTCTGTTGGATGGCATGTCGCTGAATTCCTGAAATGTTTAAGTCGCTGCTACGTTATTTCTAATGTAGTTTCCTACAGATTTATGCCAGACAAGGTGCAGATACCATGCTGGTGCTGCATATTGGTCTAACATAGGCTTTGCAAATTTTAAAATGAAGTTGTAATGTTTGGTAGCGTCCCATATGCCGCCGATGTTACCCTGTTTATGTGTGCTTCCGGGGCTGGTGTTGGAATTACACCCACTCCCATATCTCTCTCTCTCATTCCTATTCATCTACGCCGCTTTCCCCCGCGGCATAGATGTCTGCTGGTCTCGTTTTCCCTTTTCTGTATTCATTACCCTGAACATTTTGGGATTGAATTCTAGCAGCCACATGTTTGCCCACTTCTGCAACGGTAAGGGTCCTGTAATGGTTTTGGAGTTCTTAAAATAAAGTAAGTAGGATACTAGGATATATTTCTAGAAGGATTAGCAACAAGACATCTGATGTTATTCTTCAAGATGTTTCTTGTTAAGCCAGTTAGACTGTGTAGTTCCGTCTGGTTATCATGCTACAGAATAGACAAATATTCTTAAGAAATTAGCGGCCATTAGATGCTGGGCGGGTACGAGCGGTCGTCAGGTGGAGGGTTCGTCGGGTGGAGGGGTCGTCGGGTGGAGGGGTCGTCGGGTGGAGGGGTCGTCGGGTGGAGGGGTCGTCGGGTGTAGGGGTCGTCGGGTGGAGGGGTCGTCGGGTGGAGGGGTCGTTGGGTGGAGGGGTCGTCGGGTGTAGGGGTCGTCGGGTGGAGGGGTCGTCGGGTGTAGGGGTCGTCGGGTGGAGGGGTCGTCGGGTGGAGGGGTCGTTGGGTGGAGGGGTCGTCGGGTGGAGGGGTCGTCAGGTACGAGCGGTCGTCGGGTGGAGGGGTCGTCAGGTACGAGCGGTCGTCGGGTGGAGGGGTCGTCAGGTACGAGCGGTCGTCGGGTGGAGGGGTCGTCAGGTACGAGCGGTCGTCGGGTGGAGGGGTCGTCAGGTACGAGCGGTCGTCGGGTGGAGGGGTCGTCAGGTACGAGCGGTCGTCGGGTGGAGGGGTCGTCAGGTACGAGCGGTCGTCGGGTGGAGGGGTCGTCAGGTACGAGCGGTCGTCGGGTGGAGGGGTCGTCAGGTACGAGCGGTCGTCGGGTGGAGGCGAGGCGGCCTCTAATCCCTGGCCAACGTGGCACAAAAGCGCGGTGTGTCGATGGATAAATCCGCTTGTCGATTGGATGGATTACCTGTGCTGCCCCCTGGGAGCACCAGGCAACACTTGTATGGTAGATAAGTCACGCTTACATGTTTCTCTGCATGTTCACTGCAGTTCAGCTTTGTGTTTATTGAACAGCGTTGCCTGACGCCTCCTTCTGAACATGCAGTACGAAGCCCTGTGACGCAGTGGCAGCTCCACACCACCACAGCCAATCATCTGGGTTCGAGCCTTGAGTTCGACTCCGCTCCGATCCGTAACTGTTCTACCTTCTTCACCCAACAGTAATTGTGGACCCGGTTTTAAATCAGTTGGCAGGTCGTGTTACAGGGAACACTGGAAGCCTTACCATGAGCTATGGCAAGGGGGAAGGTTAAACATGCTAACAAGAGTCGTCTGCGCCTGTAAGTCACCTGTGTAGAAGCCGTGGGTGTGTGTCCTCACGCTAGCCAAGCGTGGTGGGTGTGTCCTCACGCTAGCCAAGCGTGGTGGGTGTGTCCTCACGCTAGCCAAGCGTAGTGGGTGTGTGTCCTCACGCTAGCCAAGCGTAGTGGGTGTGTCCTCACGCTAGCCAAGCGTAGTGGGTGTGTCCTCACGCTAGCCAAGCGTAGTGGGTGTGTCCTCACGCTAGCCAAGCGTGGTGGGTGTGTGTCCTCACGCTAGCCAAGCGTGGTGGGTGTGTCCTCACGCTAGACAAGCGTAGTGGGTGTGTCCTCACGCTAGCCAAGCGTGGTGGGTGTGTCCTCACGCTAGCCAAGCGTGGTGGGTGTGTGTCCTCACGCTAGCCAAGCGTAGTGGGTGTGTCCTCACGCTAGCCAAGCGTAGTGGGTGTGTCCTCACGCTAGCCAAGCGTAGTGGGTGTGTCCTCACGCTAGCCAAGCGTAGTGAGTGTGTCCTCACGCTAGCCAAGCGTGGTGGGTGTGTCCTCACGCTAGCCAAGCGTAGTGGGTGTGTCCTCACGCTAGCCAAGCGTGGTGGGTGTGTCCTCACGCTAGCCAAGCGTGGTGGGTGTGTCCTCACGCTAGCCAAGCGTAGTGGGTGTGTCCTCACGCTAGCCAAGCGTAGTGGGTGTGTCCTCACGCTAGCCAAGCGTAGTGGGTGTGTCCTCACGCTAGCCAAGCGTAGTGGGTGTGTCCTCACGCTAGCCAAGCGTAGTGGGTGTGTCCTCACGCTAGCCAAGCGTAGTGGGTGTGTCCTCACGCTAGCCAAGCGTAGTGGGTGTGTCCTCACGCTAGCCAAGCGTAGTGGGTGTGTCCTCACGCTAGCCAAGCGTAGTGGGTGTGTCCTCACGCTAGCCAAGCGTAGTGGGTGTGTCCTCACGCTAGCCAAGCGTGGTGGGTGTGTCCTCACGCTAGCCAAGCGTAGTGGGTGTGTCCTCACGCTAGCCAAGCGTAGTGGGTGTGTCCTCACGCTAGCCAAGCGTGGTGAGTGTGTCCTCACGCTAGCCAAGCGTAATGGGTGTGTCCTCACGCTAGCCAAGCGTGGTGGGTGTGTCCTCACGCTAGCCAAGCGTGGTGGGTGTGTCCTCACGCTAGCCAAGCGTGGTGGGTGTGTCCTCACGCTAGCCAAGCGTAGTGGGTGTGTCCTCACGCTAGCCAAGCGTAGTGGGTGTGTCCTCACGCTAGCCAAGCGTAGTGGGTGTGTCCTCACGCTAGCCAAGCGTGGTGGGTGTGTCCTCACGCTAGCCAAGCGTAGTGGGTGTGTCCTCACGCTAGCCAAGCGTAGTGGGTGTGTCCTCACGCTAGCCAAGCGTAGTGGGTGTGTCCTCACGCTAGCCAAGCGTAGTGGGTGTGTCCTCACGCTAGCCAAGCGTAGTGGGTGTGTCCTCACGCTAGCCAAGCGTAGTGGGTGTGTCCTCACGCTAGCCAAGCGTAGTGGGTGTGTCCTCACGCTAGCCAAGCGTAGTGGGTGTGTCCTCACGCTAGCCAAGCGTGGTGGGTGTGTCCTCACGCTAGCCAAGCGTGGTGGGTGTGTCCTCACGCTAGCCAAGCGTAGTGGGTGTGTCCTCACGCTAGCCAAGCGTAGTGGGTGTGTCCTCACGCTAGCCAAGCGTAGTGGGTGTGTCCTCACGCTAGCCAAGCGTAGTGGGTGTGTCCTCACGCTAGCCAAGCGTAGTGGGTGTGTCCTCACGCTAGCCAAGCGTGGTGGGTGTGTCCTCACGCTAGCCAAGCGTAGTGGGTGTGTCCTCACGCTAGCCAAGCGTAGTGGGTGTGTCCTCACGCTAGCCAAGCGTAGTGGGTGTGTCCTCACGCTAGCCAAGCGTAGTGGGTGTGTCCTCACGCTAGCCAAGCGTGGTGGGTGTGTCCTCACGCTAGCCAAGCGTAGTGGGTGTGTCCTCACGCTAGCCAAGCGTAGTGGGTGTGTCCTTACGCTAGCTAAGCGTGGTGGGTGTGTCCTCACGCTAGCCAAGCGTAGTGGGTGTGTCCTCACGCTAGCCAAGCGTGGTGGGTGTGTCCTCACGCTAGCCAAGCGTGGTGGGTGTGTCCTCACGCTAGCCAAGCGTAGTGGGTGTGTCCTCACTCTAGCCAAGCGTGGTGGGTGTGTCCTCACGCTAGCCAAGCGTAGTGGGTGTGTCCTCACGCTAGCCAAGCGTAGTGGGTGTGTCCTCACGCTAGCCAAGCGTGGTGGGTGTGTCCTCACGCTAGCCAAGCGTGGTGGGTGTGTCCTCACGCTAGCCAAGCGTAGTGGGTGTGTCCTCACGCTAGCCAAGCGTGTTCTACCTTCACTAAAGCACACTGATTTAGACTCAGCTACGCTACATGTTGGGATAATGACCAGTATATGGGCGGCGGCGGCCAGGTGTGGCTGTGGTGTGTGTACCCACGTGTGTGTAGCCACGTGTGTGTAGCCACGTGTGAGTGGGGCCTCGTGTGTATTCACCTAGTTGTGCTTGCGGGGGTTGAGCTCTGCTCTTTCGGCCCGCCTCTCAATTGTCAGTCAATCATCTGTTACTAACTAAGTATTTTTGTTCTCCACACACTCACACACCCACACACACCCCCAGGAAGCAGCTCCGTAACAGCTGTCCAACTCCCAGGTACCTATTTACTGCTAGGTAACAGGGAGCATCAGGGTGAAAGAAACTCTTCCCCCTTCTCGTTGTGACTGTTTCAAAGGATAGATGACAGAAGATAGTCGATAAAAGATGACTAGTTCTGCTAGGTCCACTAGACACTCATCATCATACTCATCATCATCATACTCATCATCATCATACTCATCATCATACTCATCATCATACTCATCATCATCATACTCATCGCCCAAGCTCGTCATCTAACCTATTTTAAGCCTGGGAATAGGTTGAGGCCGTAGCGTCATCAAGGTCTTTAATCATCCCCTTTACCGGATGAAAATCATCCCTCGGATTCCATCTATCTTGAGTGGGGGGGGGGAGGATAGATTGAAAGATATAGGATAGATAATAGAGGATAGATAATAGAAGATAGAGGATAGATAAAACGAGGATAGATGATATAAGATAGAGGGTAGGTGATAGAAGATAGACGATAGATAAAAATAGGATAGAAAATAGAAGAAATAGGATAGATAAAAAGAAGATAGATAATAGACGATAGATAAAAAGAGAATAGATCATAGAAGATAGAGGATAAATATAAAGACGATTGATGAAAGAAGATAGAGGATAGACCAAAAGAAGGATAGGTGACAGAAGATAGAGGATAGATAAAACTGGGATAGATGCATCAATGTCAACTACATTACTCGTGATCCACATGACTCAACTCTGAAAGGGTTGATTGACTGTTGAGAGGCGGGACCAAAGAGCCAGAGCTCAATCCCCGCAAGCACAACTCGGTGAGTACAAAACAATTCCCCGGAAACACATTTAATTGTTAGGTGGTAATGTGTTTGTCAGGTTTTTACGATCGCACAAAGACAAACCATAAATTGGCCAATGCCATTTTTATTTGTTGATTGTCCTTGTTAAAATATGATGTAACTGAATAATGAGATATCCATTGTTAGTACTGTGGGTGACAGTGTGGGATGGGAGAGTGTGTGGGAGAGTGTGTGGGATGGGAGAGTGTGGGAGAGTGTGGGAGAGTGTGGGAGAGTGTGGAAGAGTGTGGGAGAGTGTGAGAGAGTGTGGGAGAGTGTGGGAGAGTGTGAGAGAGTGTGGGAGAGTGTGGGAGAGTGTGGAAGAGTGTGGAAGAGTGTGGAAGAGTGTGGGAGAGTGTGGAAGAGTGTGGGAGAGTGTGAGAGAGTGTGGGAGAGTGTGGGAGAGTGTGAGAGAGTGTGGGAGAGTGTGGGAGTGTGTGGAAGAGTGTGGAAGAGTGTGGAAGAGTGTGGAAGAGTGTGGAAGAGTGTGGGAGAGTGTGAGAGAGTGTGGGAGAGTGTGGGAGAGTGTGAGAGAGTGTGGGAGAGTGTGGGAGAGTGTGGAAGAGTGTGGGAGAGTGTGGGAGAGTGTGAGAGAGTGTGGGAGAGTGTGGGAGAGTGTGAGAGAGTGTGGGAGAGTGTGGGAGAGTGGGGGAGAGTGTGGGAGAGTGTGAGAGAGTGTGGGAGAGTGTGGGAGTGTGTGGGAGAGTGTGAGAGAGTGTGGGAGAGTGTGGGAGAGTGTGAGAGAGTGTGGGAGAGTGTGGGAGAGTGTGGGAGAGTGTGGAAGAGTGTGGAAGAGTGTGGGAGAGTGTGAGAGAGTGTGGGAGAGTGTGGGAGAGTGTGGGAGAGTGTGGAAGAGTGTGGGAGAGTGTGAGAGAGTGTGGGAGAGTGTGGGAGAGTGTGGGAGAGTGTGGGAGAGTGTGAGAGAGTGTGGGAGAGTGTGGGAGAGTGTGAGAGAGTGTGGGAGAGTGTGAGAGAGTGTGAGAGAGTGTGAAAGAGTGTAAGAAAGTGTGATAGAGTGTGGGTGAGTGTGGAAGAGTGTGAGAAAGTGTGATAGAGTGTGGGAGAGTGTGAGAGAGTGTGATAGAGTGTGGGAGTGTGTGGGAGTGAGTGTGTTGGGACAAGAGAGTGCATGCCTCTCCGAGTGCCTTAAGAACACACTAGCTTCCCACTTAAGGATCATACTCAACTGATTAAATCTTAATTTGTTTGATCTTGTTTGAAAGTAATTAATCACTATAGAGTGTTTGACCTTGTTTGGGCGTGCGTGTGTGGCGTTTGATAAGCCTTGAGTGTACTTGACCTTGTTTGAGAGGATTTTGCTTGGAATGTACTCACCCAGTTGTACTCACCTCACTCACTGCTGCCTCTCTTCTCAACCTGACGTACTCATTCCTGTCACTCTGGTATCTTTCTTTGCTCTCAAGTGTCCTGTTATTCCAATAGTTTCTCCATGTTGCATGACCATGACCTTGCATGACCTTGTGTGACCTTTGAGTTTTAACATAGAGATTGACCTTTAATAGTGTTAAATTAATAGAATTAATTAACCTTGACATTAATTGTATACTGACATTAAAACTTGCCATTATTATGATAAGAGCTTAACATGACGATCTCAGCCTGACCTTTTACTTCAGCTTAACATTACCCAACAGCTTGAGCTGTATATGAGCCGGGCTCTGACATCAGTTTGACTTCTCATTTCAGTCAATCTTGACTGACCTCAGATTGACCACTTGACCTTGATTGACCACCAAGGTCTTGACCACCAAGGTCAGTGACCTTGATTGACCACCAAGGTCTTGAGTGACCTTGATTGACCACTTGACCAGCTCGACTTTTACCTCGTTTTAAACCTTGTCCGCAGCTTCAATTAAGTTTTCCTTGATCTCAGTTTTGACTTCGATTTTAGTTGGAACTTGACTTCAGCATGAATTTAACTTCAGCTTGAAATTAATTAGTGAACTTCAGCTTGGGGGAGTTGATTGCAGCTTGAACTTGACTTCAGCTTGAACTTGACTTCAGCTTGAACTTGACTTCAGCTTGAACTTGACTTCAGCTTGAACTTGACTTCAGCTTGAACTTGACTTCAGCTTGAACTTGACTTCAGCTTGAACTTGACTTCAGCTTGAACTTGACCTGTTATTAACTTAACATCCGTTGCCCTCAAGTCTCGCTGCAAGAAATTACTCGAAGTGCAAGACCTGAGGCGGGAATTAACGAGAAGAGAGAGAGAGCGAGAGGGTGAACGGGAGTGTTAACGAGAGGGTTAATTAGAGGATTAACGAGAAGCTTAGCGATAGGATTTACTGGAAAGTTAGCGAGAGGACTAAGAAGAGGGTTAGCAACAGGGTTAGCGAAGGGAGGATAGCGAGTGCAAGAATTTATGAGAACCAACAATGGAGCTTTGCGATGACAGAGTGAAGCATCCCGAGTGAGATTGAGACGTCCAGAGTAAGGATGTAGCATCCACAGTGAGTGTGTGGCAGTCATACATTCAGAGTGAAAGTGAAGAATCCAGAGTGAAACATTCAGAGTGAGTGTGAGGCATTCAGAGAGAGTGTGAGACATTCAGAGAGAGTGTGAGGCATTCAGAGAGAGAGTGTGAGGCATTCAGAGTGAGTGTGAGACATTTAGAGTGAATGTGAGGCATTCATAGAGAGTGTGAGGCATTCAGAGTGAGTGTGAGGTATTCATAGAGAGTGTGAGACATTCAGAGTGAGTGTGAGACATTTAGAGTGAGTGTGAGGCATCCAGAGTGAGTGTGAGACATTCAGAGAGAGTGTGAGACATTCAGAGTGAGTGTGAGGCATCCAGAGTGAGTGTGAGGCATCCAGAGGGAGTGTGAGACATTCAGAGTGAGTGTGAGACATTCAGAGTGAGTGTGAGGCTTTTAGAGTGAGTGTGAGACATTCAGAGTGAGTGTGAGGCCTTCAGAGAGAGTGTGAGACATTCAGAGTGAGTGTGAGACATTCAGAGTGAGTGTGAGGCATTCAGAGTAAGTGTGAGACATTCAGAGTGAGTGTGAGACATTCAGAGTGAGTGTGAGACATTCAGAGTGAGTGTGAGACATTCAGAGTGAGTGTGAGGCATTCAGAGTGAGTGTGAGGCATTCAAAGAGTGTGAGGCATTCAAAGAGAGTGTGAGACATTCAGAGAGAGAGAGTGTGAGGCATTCAGAGTGAGTGTGAGACATTCAGAGTGAGTGTGAGATTCATTGTGAGACATTCAGAGTGAGTGTGAGACATTCAGAGTGAGTGTGAGGCATTCAGAGTAAGTGAGAGACATTCAGAGTGAGTGTGAGACATTCAGAGTGAGTGTGAGACATTCAGAGTGAGTGTGAGACATTCAGAGTGAGTGTGAGGCGTCCAGAGTGAGTGTGAGGCATTCAAAGAGAGTGTGAGACATTCGGAGTGACTGCGCATTTTCTTTCAAGTTTTGTTTGAGCTGATCGGACTTCCTGAGTGGCTGCACTCAACGCCGATTAGTATGTCTCATAATCAATGAGATTTACGTGAAATTTCCACATACTTATTCCCGTGGTTGAATTTAATTGTTAAAGTTCTTTTTTTAGTATATATATATTTTTCACCACCTAGTTCCGTTCCATTTCCCTTCCCTTCTCGGCACACATATTTTGGTCCCAGTTCAGTGATATCCCTTGTTAAACTATCCCGTGATGTCTCTTCCCCCTCTCCCGTAGGGGAAGACGGTGATTAAGAAAAGGAAAAAGAATATTTGCAAGAAAAGGGCGAACGAAAGATGAAGAATTTATAAGAAATATTTAAGAATATTTATGCCGCTGACTTCACTGGACCATTTCTGCCGCATTTCAGCAAATATTCTAATATTTATTCTGAAAAAGAGTGACATAATTTTTTGATCATGTGAAGAAACATGTAATTGTTGTAATCAGATTCCACGGTAAGGCAGTCAGATATGGCGACGGGGTGGAGGTACGGAAACTCTGTCTCTCTGTGTGTGTGTCTGTCTGTCTGTCTGTCTGTCTGTCTGTCTGTCTGTCTGTCTGTCTGTCTGTCTGTCTGTCTGTCTGTCTCTCTCTCTCTCTCTCTCTCTCTCTCTCTCTCTCTCTCTCTCTCTCTCTCTCTCTCTCTCTCTCTCTCTCTCTCTCTCTCTCTCTCTCTCTCTCTCTCTCTCTCTCTCTCTCTCTCTCTCTCTCTCTCTCTCTCTCTCTCTCTCTCTCTCTCTCTCTCTCTCTCTCTCTCTCTCTCTCTCTCTCTCTCTCTCTCTCTCTCTCTCTCTCTCTCTCTCTCTCTCTCTCTCTCTCTCTCTCTCTCTCTCTCTCTCTCTCTCTCTCTCTCTCTCTCTCTCTCTCTCTCTCTCTCTCTCTCTCTCTCTCTCTCTCTCTCTCTCTCTCTCTCTCTCTCTCTCTCTCTCTCTCTCTCTCTCTCTCTCTCTCTCTCTCTCTCTCTC